GGGAGTGAACTTTAAAACCCAACAATTCTTGAGAAGGTGGGAGGGGATAGGGTTGGAATCTCCAAGAGTGAGACTGGTCTTAAGCTAGAGAGAGAGGCGGCATCTATATTGTTTAAGAAGAAAACTAGGAGCCTAGTGTCATGGTGCACCCCTTTAATCTCAGCACTCGGGAGGCAGAGGCAGGCAGATCTCTGTGAGTTCAAGGCCAGACTGATCTACATAGTGAGTTTCAGGCCAGCTGGGGCTACAGGGAGAACCTGTCTCAAAAAGATTGAAAAAGAAGAGGAAGAAGAAGGGGAGGGGAGAAGCTATTTGAAGAAAGAATTAATGATCCATTTCCAAAAACATAAGACATCAGGCCATATACCCAAGAAGCTCAGTGAATCCAACAGAATAAATAAATTAAGGACACATCAAACTCAGAGGGCATGTGTTAATAGAAGCCAGAAGAGAGAGTCAGAGAGGAGGAGGAGGAGGAGGAAAACTAGGTTGTGAAGGGGTGCTTAGATGTTTGGCATCCAGCAGTTTGAGAAATTCATTATCTGATGACTTTTCCTCCAGAAAGAAGGAAGGCGTGTAGTCAGAAGATGGGTGGGGAAAGTTCTGTGGAGAAAGGTGTAGGAATGTAATGTTAGAATCTAGCCTCTTTCTGCAGCAGCCTCCTCTTCCCCTTTCCCCAACAGGCACCCTACTGAGCCACCCTAACTGACAGTGCTGGTGCCAGGACTTCCTACCTGGGAAGAGTTAACATCAAAGGGGGTAGTGACCATCATACACATCCTGCTTCAGACTTCTGTCCCTGCCTCATGCCAGGAATAAGAAGCAGCTTCCTCCCCTGCCTCAGGGGCTCTGCATTTTCTCTCCAGAGAGATCTCTCCATGCTGTTTGTCTCTGGTGCCGGGGCCTGAACTTTCCTCGGAGTCCCTGCTATGCCGTTGCCTCTCTGTTCATCACTTTGACATCTCTTCTAATAGTCCTTATTCCACAGTAATCCAGTGTCCTCACGAATCACCAGCCCCATCCAAAACCTAACAAAGGGGAAGGGGTTTCAGGTGAGCACTGAGGCGCTCCACACACCGAACACAGCTGCCCCAGTATGCAATTTTCTCCGTTCAACACTTGCTCACTGGGGCATGCAAGCAGGAAGCAGTGTTAGGCCCATCCAAGGTTGTGATGGATGAAGAATTCAGCATTTCCCAAACCAGTCTCTCAAAATACTCTCCTGACAGAGATTCATAAGTGCATTGAGAAAACAGAATCTTCCCTGGGAGAACCTTGACACACCATACTCTTTTTTTAATATGCATAGGGACATATTGGAGGCTCTTCTACAGAGACTCCAGTTAAATTTAACATGATCTAAAATCTCAGGTTACCTGCAGCCATAATGTTCCCTCATATCAATAAAGGTCTCACAGTTTTGTTAGTGATGGATAATTGTCAGTTCCCTCCCTGCGCTTCAGCCCCAAATAAAAGAACAGAGGCCTTCATTCCCTCCTTCAGTGTGTTTACATTTCCTGCAGTTAGCCTTCTAAATCACATTGATCTCAGGGTGGAGTAAAGATACCCCTTTCTGAAACGAGCCTCATTTTTTTAATGTATGGTAGCTGAAAGAGCCTATTGCATTTATTGACTCCTGTCATAAACTTAAAAGCAAACAGTCAGCCAGCTTCCTTATGGGTTCCTCCAGGACCGTAAGAAACCAACCTGAAAACTGGCTGGGAAGTCAGGGCCAGTGGCCACCCCAAATGGTTAGGGGTTCAGGTTGGTGGAGCCTGGTAGGGGAGGACAGCAGTTAGAGTTATTTTTCCCTTTCTCTCTCTCTCTCTCTCTCTCTCTCTCTCGTATGTACGTAGTATGTGTGCACATGTATGTATGTTCACATGTGTGTGAGCACAGGTGCATGTGTGTATGCATGTGGAAGCCAGAGACTGATGTTTCTCTCCACCTTATATGTTGAGGCAAGGTCTCTCACTCAAACCCAGAGCTCCTGGATTAGGCAAGTGTAGCCAGTCAAATTCACTGTCTAAACCTCCAGAGCGCTGGGATTACAGCAAATCTGCCACGTCTACCCAGCATTTCCATGGGAGCTAGAGATCTGAATTCTGCTCTTCACACTTGGGTAGTGAGTGCTTTACCCACTGAACCATCTCCTCAACCCTTATTTATTTATTATTTATTTATTTATTTTATTTTATTTTTAAGCTTTTAAAATTTTATTAGAATCTTAAAGAAAAATCCACAGAGCAGGCAAGCTGGTAATCTTGGCAGCTGCCTTAAGGAAGTGAATGATAGGAAGAAGGAAAGAAAACCATGAAGCCGACAGAGTCTGTGTGGGAGGTCAGACACGTGGCTGACGGGCTGCCGCATGGCTGGGAGAAAGAAGCTTTAGAGAAAAAGAAAAGAAATACAGGATGCTGGGGCAGCATGTTTGGTAAGAAAGGAATGAAGAAGACAAGGGGAAATTACACCTTTCTGAAGGACTCAGAAAGGTGGACAGACTTACAGAGACCTTCAGGACTGATGCTTATCCAGAAGTTCTGCAGAGTTCTGCCCCCAGCCCTCGTTTTTTTAAACTGTCATTAATAATCTTTTCATTGGTCTTTTCAGTTTAAAAATTGCTCTTATATATGTGAGTTCACATCACATTTAATGAGTGTTGAGCAAGAAATATAGATTGGCGAGATGACAGATGAAAGACAGGCTGAAGGAAAAAGAGGGGGACTGGGAAAGGAGCTAGAAAGGATTGTGAGTAGTGGATAAGCCCTGCATTCTAGGCGATGCTGCTTCCAAGGTGTGGAATGGCTTCTCGGAAGCAGGGCAAGAAACTTAGAAATCACAGTGGCTTGTGTCCTCCATGAGGCTATGCTATACAGCACATAGGAAGGTGTATTTGAGATATTCATGTTCCATGGGGGCAGGTGAGGGTTAGGAAAAACACATTTAAACATTTCTGAGTGGCAGCGAAGAGGACTGGCAGTGAGAAAAAGCAGAGACTGTGAGGAAGAAACCCTGATCCTGATCCTGTGGTTTGAGGAGAGACTTCTGACATCCACAACTAAGTCCTTTGTTCTTGGACATCTTTGCTATGTCTGTCTGGTCCATCTGCTTCTACTTCAGTGGCCCTGCCCATTTTATCTGAGGCTCTAAATGACCATGTTCTACCCCTTTAAACCATTTCCTCTTCTGGCCACAACTGCTCTCATTATACAGAAAGTGAAGCCACACAGAAGTTATAGACGGAAGTGCTGTTAAATCATATCTGCTGAACCTGGAGCTCATAGATTTGGCTAGGTTACCTGGCCCATCAGCTCCAGGGATCCACCTGTCTCCTCCTGCACCCCAGCACGGTGGTTACAGATGCAGACCACCATGCCCAGGTTTTTATGTGTGTTCAAGTCCTCATGCATTTTACTAACTAAGCCATCTCTCTAGCCCCAGGTCCTACACTCTCGAGAGGTTGCAAGAGTGACTTGGGTTTGGACCTTATAATAAATTCGCTTCTTTGAAGCCATGTATAAACTAACTTTAGCCAGCCCTGCTGGCAGAGGAGGCTCCACAAGTGTCTCGATGAGGCACTTGGTTGCTGCTCAGGAAAACAGAGTGGGAGAATTCTGACCTGGCATTGAGGAAGTGTTATGAACTGAGAAACACAAGAAATCAACAAGAAATATGAAATGGCAGAATCTGTCAGGTTTGGATTAAGTGGAATATTTAAAAAGTCAGAAGTCAGAGGTCCACGGAATTCCGGATATCTATAAGATTTATTTTTAATTATGTGCATGTGTGAATGTCTCTGTGTGTATATGCTGTGTTCGTGGGTACCCTCAGAGGCCAGAAGAAGACATGGGATCCTCTGAAACTGAAGTGACAGGAGGCTGAAAGCTCCCTAACATAGATGCTGGGAACTGAACTCGCATCTTCTGCCAGTACAATACACACTCTTAACCACTGAGCCATCTTTACAGCCCCTTCTATGGCTCCCCCACCCCCATTCTTTTCAACCCAAGGGCAGTAGTGTTGGCAAAACATAGGCTCAGCATGTATTGAGAGTCTCCTGTCTTAGAGCCAGGAGGTAAATCTTGCTTTTGCCTAACATGGGGGGCCTAGTGCCAAGAAAAGGCACCAGAACCTGGAGAACCAGCAGGGCACTGTGATGAGCATCCAGTATCCCATACTGGGAGGTTCTGATCCCACTGGACTTGAGGAAACACCTGGCAATGTGGATTTGTACCAGGTGTTCCTGGAGCACAGCTAAATCTAGGGGTGTTTGCAAAGAATGGGAGAAATTACTTTTCTTATTAGGGGAGGTTAATATTAGGACTAGAATAAATACTAGCACTGAGGTCTTCTGGCTGAGGAATCAGAGTAAAAGAATCATTTCCTTAGATCTCAGGGTGATGGGCATGTTATAACAATGTATGGTCTCACAAGAAAGGGCTGAGTTGCTACTTGTCAACTGTTGTGGTTTGAATATAGACGGTCCTTCATTGGCTCATGTATTTGAGCACTTGGTCCCCAGTTGGTGGCACTGTTTGGGAAGGTTATGGACCGTTTAGGAGATAGAGCCTTGCTGGAGGAAGTATGCCACTAGGAGTGGGCTTTGAGGATTTATAGCCTGGCCTCACTTCCTGTTCTCTTGCTCTACTTCCTGTGTATGGATAAAATGTGATACCCCAGCCTCACACTCCTTCTGCCCTGCCTTCCTGCCACGATGGACTGTGTCTCCTCTGAAATTGTAAACCAAAACAGACCCTTTCTCCCCAAAGTTGCTTTTTGTCAGGGTGTTTTATCATAGCAACAGACAAGGAACTGATATATTTGCCTTCCACCAATCCTTTTTTTTAAAATATTTATTATTTTCATTTTATGTGAATGAGTGTTTTGCCTGTATGCATGTAAGCACACCATGTGTATGCAATGCCTGAAAAGGCCAGAAGACAGTGTCTGATCCCCTGGAACTGGAGTTACAGATAGTTATTAGCCACCATGTGGGTGCTGGGAATCGAACCTGGGTCCTCTGGAAGAACAGCAAGTGTTCTTAACAGCTGAGTCATATCTCTAGCCCCCTTCTACCACCAATTCTTAAAGACAATAGATTTGATCATCTGACATCAAACACGGTAGTGGTTTTTTGGATATGCAGGTGTTGGGTAATTTCAAAAGTTTAAATAAAAAACCTATATTAAAATGATTGTGTTCTCTGCTTAGTACTCCATAGGAATGAGTACTTAGCACCCATGGGGAAATTCCAAACAGAATCTTAGTTTAGAATTGTAGTATTACTGGACGGCAGCTTCGTAGATCAAATTCTCCTATGATAGGAAAACATTGAGGAGAAATACCGTCCAAACCTGCTGCCCTGTGAACCTGAGCACTGGCCCTGCTGTGGGAAGAGTCTGATAACTGTGATGGCCAGGCTCACAGGTAAGGACCCAACACATTCCTGCTTCCTTCATGAATCCACTGGCAACTCTGAGGGTCCAGTGTCCAGGTGTCTGAGGAAGTTGCTGGGAGCTCTTTGATGAAAGACCCATTTCCCTGTTTTTCACTCTCTCTCATTGAGAAGATGTAGACAGGGAAGTTAGGCCTCCAGACCACAGAGTCTCTGAGGTACGCACAGGAGGGAAGATCAAGAAGAAAGGCATGTTTGATATGGAACGGGATGCTCATAAGGTTCCAGAGTCTTTTCTAGACAGGAACATAATTGCTTCTTGATCTTTGGGCTAAGATGTGTAGACAGGAGCATAGACACAGCGATCCCTCTGCTTGGGCCCATGTGGGCACAACTGACATTCAGCATATCTAGAGACACAGTTAAGGCTCAGAAGCATTCAGCAGTTCCTGAGGATGCGACCAAGTAGTGGGGACAGACCCTTCAATTCTTTTGGTAGACTTGCTCCAAAGTGTTAGGGGGAGACAGAAGATCCAGAGACAGGCTGAGTTGCTCTTGTTGGGATTTGACCTGGACATAGCCCAGCAAATCCATAGCTTCACCACAGACTTCCTGAACTCGAGAGACCTTTTTATAAGGCAAAGACCAGCGCCAAGCTTGGGAGACATTGAGGGCATCCCTGGCGTTTGTGCGGAAGGCGGCCTTACCCAAACCCTTGCCATGGGTGAGGTTATATACCCAGGTCTGGAGATGGGGCAAGAATTTCAACCCCACAAAGTCATACATCCTGGAAGTCTGGCCCACGGGAGCCCTGACCAGGTCCTCATACCTCAGGAGCAAGTAACGCTGTTGTAGAGTTTCAGGCAAGGCCTGAATAGCCTTGGCTATGCCCACATGGCTTTTGCAGATGACCTTCATGACGTTGTAGGGCTGATCCTCTACTTTGAGCATGGTCAAATTCTGCTCCAGCACAATGTGACTGTCAATCTTGAGGTCGGCTGCGGTGCGTTCTCGGGATCGGAACACCGCCCGGGGATCCCGGACCAGGTGCACGATGTGCAGGTTGAGGGAAGGGTCAGTGAGCAGTGGGTAGAGGACCTGCAGATTGAAGAAACGCACCTCCTTGAGCACCACGTGGCTGTGAGAGCGGCAGACTTTCTCTACCATTTCGAAGGGCTTTCGACTGCAGAGTACCTCACACTGCTTAGGAGAGCTGATCTGGATGCTAGAGACAGCATCACAGGCAGGTGGTGAACACAGGGCCCGGCTTTGCGCCCATTGGAAGAGGCTGGATTGTGCTCGGGGACCTGGTTTCATGTAGGCATCAAACACGCTCATGTCACACAGGAAGATAGACCTCATCAGGTCCCGCACAGCCATGTGCAGTCTCCAGACCGTGCTGCTGGTGAAGGTCATCCACACGTGCCAGGCAGGCTCCATCAGGTAGAAGACATCTGGGTGCTGCCCAAAGACCTGCCCCACAAAAGAGGAACCGGATCGCCAGGAAGTCAGGATCAGCACGTGCATGGGTCTGGGCTCCTCCTTCTGGAATTTGTAGCCAGACATATGGAAGAAGAGGCCGAAGATCACCATCTGGGAAGTCAGGAATAACAGCAGCTTGACTTTCTTAGGCAGAATCATCCTACCAAAGTGGAAGACCTTGAAGGGGCAAGCAGAGGGAAGTCGGGTTAGGCTGAAGTGACATCTGCCTCCTGGACCCCCTTCAAGGAACACTGTAAAAATTCAGAATGTAGAAGTCCCTGCAAGCACTTGCCCAAATATCTCTGCAGAGTAACTTTGGTCTCTTACTCCATCACTAAGTTTCATATTTTAAGATCTAACCCCCCCCCTCCCACCATGGGTCTGTGGGACCACCAAGAATGCCTGAATTTGGCTATATAAAAATCAACATAGGAGGGGCTGGAGAGATGGCTCAGAGGTTAAGAGCACTGATTGCTCTTGCAGAGGACCTGGGTTTGATTCCCAGCACCCACATGGTGGCCACAAACCGTCCTTAGCTCCAGTTCCCTGGGGAATCCGATACCCTCTTCTGACCTCTGAGGCATTGCACGACATGGGTGCATGCACATACATGCAGGCAATACACTCATACACATAAAATTAAAAAAATAATAAATAAAAATCTTCACCAGTGACATATCTGACAGAGATTTAACATCCAGAATATATAAAGAACTCAAAACCCCACCCCCCACCCCCACAGCCAAACACAGTGTGGCCATGCAGGCAAAGCTGTCTGACCAAGTCCTGGTTGAATGCCTTGTGATCCTCCAGAAACCAAGACACAGCCTAAGGACTTTTTACCTCAGTCTCCTGAAGGCTAGGGCTGCAGGCTATTAGCTTCCTGTCTTTAGCACTGACCCTTAATCCTTGGGATTAAAGACATGGGGAAATTGATCAAATGCCACTATTGAACAAGTAGGTATCTCTTCCAGGCCAGTTGTTGTAACTTGCAGGATTCAAAACTGGGTAAGGTTCATGATAAATTTTCTCTTCAGGTAGCTTGCATAGCACCTTCCAGCACTATGAAATCTAGACAATACAGATGAGGCTCTGAAGTCAACACCAGCTTGATTTCTCCTTGTTTGTTCTGCAGCTCATGTTTGTAGTGTCTTCAAACAATAGGGTCTTACCATGAAGCTCTGGTGGGTAACCAACAGCAGGGGCAATACAAGCCCAAGTTTTAAGATATTTATTTTCATTAGAGTATTTTAATTATACAAAATAATGTTTCATTATGTCATTTCCTACATGTATATGGTATGCTTTAAAATTTTTTAAACTGTACTCATTTTTATTTTATGTGTATGAGTGTTTTATCTGCATGTATGTGAGTGCACCTGTGTCGTGCAATGCCTGTGGAGGCTAGAAGAGGGTGTCAGATCCTTGGATCCCTGGAACTAGAGTTACGGATGGTTGTTAGCTGCCAAGGGGGTTCTGGGAATCCAACTTGGGTCCTCTGGAAGAGCAGTCAGTGTTCTTAACTGCTGAGCTATCTCCCCAGCCCTGTAATGGTATGCTTGAACCATTTTCATCTCCAGCTCCCTCTCTCTCTCTCTCTCTCTCTCTCTCTCTCTCTCGTCTTTCATCCTCTACCAACTGACCTCTTTTCTCAAATATCACCCTCGTCACTTCTATGCCTTAAAATTTGTGTGCATGTGTGTGACACACTAAGTAGGGCTGTTTGGATAGAAATGGGGGGTAACTACGATCAAAGCACACTGTATACACGTATGAGATTGTCAGTGGATAAATTTTTTAAATGTGGGGGAATGTTTTTGATGGATAATTTCCACATGGTTTAAACTATTTTGTCAATAGGGTCTGAACTTACAATGGGGCTTTCCTAAGACTGTATGCAGAAAGCATAAAACCAGGGAAGTGCTTGTTAGCCGCATCCTGGCATGTCGGGCCCCAGGTCTCTGACTTCCCAAACACAAGAAAGGGGACATCTTGCCATAAGCAGCTGGGTCTGTGGAGGAAAACTAGAGCTGTAAGTTAGAAAACTTCTAGGGCTCCCTGTAACAGAAGTAGTGACCTATCTTTAAAGGGATCACAATGTTTTTCCACAGGAATTTTCCTGGTTGTGAATTGGTAAATTTGTCCTTCTTTGTAAGAGCCAGTAGTTATCTTATTACCTGAATACAATGAAAAGTTTACCTCTAACCCAGGCCCATTTCTCAACTTGCCTGTACACAAAACTGTTCGTTATAATGCATTATTTCTGTTGCTTTGTGTACAAACAGGGCGATCCAAATATATGAACACTCTTAACAGCTTTTCTCTTTAAAACAAAAAAACATAGTAAGTTATCCCTACTTGTAGCAGTTTTTTTCTTGTCAGCATGTTTTGAGGGAACTTTCATGGCAGGATACAATGCATCTTTGTTCCTTTATACCACACAGAATTCTGTTGCAAGAGCAAACAACAGTTTATTTAATCAGTTTCCTCATGGTTGGGCTTTTGGGCTATCTTCAGTCTGTTATTTCAAATGTTCAGTCATGAACTTCGTGGCCACATCCCATTGTAAGTTAAATCACTGGAAGTGAATTGCTGAGTCAAAAAGTATGTGTGTGTGTGTGTGTGTGTGTGTGTGTGTGTGTGTGTGACTTGGACAGCTACCTCTGGGCAACCTTCATAGTGCTCCTAACACAGAACAAAGGGATCAGAGAATGGGTTTTGGAGGAGGAAGGGGGTGACTCTTGGAGTTTATAACTTGCTTCCTCAAGAGACAGAACATGCTTTGCCAGCTCCTGGGTTTCCCTTGGAAGTCCCCTGAACATTCTGGGAAGTGTGTCGTGACACTCGCCAGACCTTGTGTGGCAGTGGCAGAAACCCCCATCTTTCTTATTCGTTGCCGGATATGCTTTTCCCCTGGGTCTTCCAAAAGGATCAAGGGGAGATCATCTCTTCTTTTCCTTCTTTTTTGTGCATGTGTGTGTGTGTGTGTGTGTGTGTGTGTGTGTGTGCTCGTGTGTGTGCATGAGTGTTGGCACATGTGTGGAAGCCAGAGATAAACCTCTGGTGGTGTTCTTCAGGCACCATCCACCTTTTTTTTTTTTCTTTTGAGACAGGGTCTCTTATTGGCCTGGAGCTTGCAAAGTAGGTCAGGCTGGCTGACTGAGTCCCAGGAATCCCCCTGTCTCTGCCTCTCTAGTTCTGGGGTTACACATGCATGTTACCATGCCTGGTTTGTAAAAATGTGAATTCTGGTGATCAAACTCTGGTTTGCAAGGCAAGCACTTTACTTACTGATCTATCTCTAGCCCTCATCTCTCCTGTATGGCCAAAAACCACATTACAAGACGAGAGAGATATGGCTCAGTGGTTAAGAGCACATGTTGCACAAGCTTAGGAACCTGAGTTCATCTCTCCAGCATCCACATAAAAGGCACACATGGCTGTTTCAGTGCCTGTGTCCTCAGTGCTGTGGGGAGTAGATACAAGAGGATTGGTCAGGCTTGCTGAACAATGAGCTCCAGGTTCAGTGAGGGATTCTGTCTCAAAAGAATAAGGTGGAGGTTATAGGATACCCAACATCCTCCTCTGACTGCCTCACACATGGGCATGGGTTTGTGTACCTGCACACACATGTGAGCATACCACACACACACACACACACACACACACACACACACACACACGCAGAGCTATCTGGCAGTGCCAGGAGACTGTTAGTAAATAGTAATTCTTGTCTTTCTGTCTTTGGCCTGTGGTTTAAGAGATGACCAGCTAAGGTATGCTCTTAATTCCTAAAACTGAATTCCAAAAGGACATAATTAAAAACGACGCCATTGCTGATAATAGTTCAAATATAGCTGCCCGTCTCCTACTACCCCAAGACAGAAGGCCTGACTTGAGGAAGAGACTATCTCCTAGGGATAACGTGAGCACAAGAAAGTGTGGAACAAAGTCAGGGACAAAGGAGCAAAGGGAGAGGCAAACCCAAGAGGGGAAATTGACCGGTGGATAAATATAGAAGCTGGGATAGAATTTTACAAGTAGGGCCTGTAATCCCTTTAGCAATAAGCTCACACTGCTGGGGATTAGGAAAGTAGACCTTTCTCTCCACCCCAGCCTTAGGTCAACTCTGTCCTGTGAGGTTCAATGACTCTGTGCCTTCCTGGTGTGTCAGCTGCCCCTGGCTTCAAGCCCAGGACCTCCCGAAGCTGAGCCGGGCTTCCACTGTCCTTAGCTGTCCTCAGTCTTTGGATATCCATGTATAGACCTTACTTTCTCTGCATTTTCTTTCCTTTTATTACTGGGGGTTGAGGGGCCAGAACCCAGCACCTTGTCCCTCTGCTAGACTTTCTAAAGCACAAGTCTGTCGTTCCTCTGTTTTAAAATGCCCTGATACTCTGCCATCCCTGCCACTGTCCACTGTGCTGTGAGCACCCCCATCTATATGGAGGCTCTAGTGGGAGAGGAAGGCTATCTATCTGATGAGTTTATATTCATGCTCAGATGCCAAGGAACTCAGAAAGTAAGCGACTGTGACCAGTAATAGTCATATATATAGAGATTAGAAATGCATGTGAAAACGTCTCAATGTCAATTGCCTTAAAATGAATTTTTCTGTATGAAACTGTGTATTTTAACAACGAAGTGGAGATCTTTTTTAAACGTTAAAAAAATGCCCTGATAACTTTCTAACACATACAGGCTGACACCCAAGTTCCCAGGCCTTGCACCCAGGGTCCTCAGTGGCCTGACCTCGGATTTCCTAACTCTTTTCTCCCTTTCCATACTGTTGGTTCCAGATTCAAGCTTCAGTTCTTTCAAACTTGTCCTGTTATTGCAGAATCCTGAGGCGTTTATAGGACTGCCATTCTGCCTTTAGAGGCTTCCCACCATCCTCTTTCTTCCCCTAAAGAAGGCTATCATCCCTCTGCCTCCCAAATGTCCATTAGCATCCGTCCCACTGCACAGGACACAGCTGCAGACAGTGTCTTTCCCACTGAGCTGCAGTGATTGAACAGGCAGACCATGTCTTACCTTGCTCACTGGTGTGCAATAGTTCCACCAGTGATTAGGTCGGCTTAAGCCTACTACATCAATGAAGAGGGCGATAGATGGTTGTGGGCAACAAGCAGAGTCTAATTGTCAGAAATAGGAAAACCTGATGAGTTTTTATTTGAAATGGCATTTCATGTGGCTCATGCTGGTCCAGGACTGGCTATATAGCTGAGGATGACCTTGAACTTCTGATCCCCCTGCTTTCTCCTCCTTACTGCTGGGGTTACAAGCATGTACTACCAAGCCTGGTTTTATGTGGTGATGGAGATCAAAGCCAGGGTCTTGCACATTCTAGGCAAGCACTCTACCAACTGAGCTACGTCCCCATTATCCTGATGAGCTCTTCAATAAACCAAACTCTTCTAAAATGCAAATGGACAGTATTTAGTATCAATTGTTCAGATTTAGGTGAATTCCTTGAACACTGAGCACAGAAGGTCTCAGTTGCACAGAGCAAGACAGTAATAAAGTCAGATACACGGTTTTGATGCAACATGGCACATTTATCCTTGTTCTATAAAACACAAGTTTCTGTACCAAGCAGTAATAATTAAAATGAAGTGGGGAAAAAACAGAATAGTTTAATTAAAAAGAAGTGCCCATTGCAGATGCCAGCCTACTTTGTTCTCACAAGGTTGACGAGGCAAAACAAACTGAGCATATCCAATACTTCCTCCAACCCCCAAAAGTAATGTGAACATATGTTACCCCAGTGACAGGTGACTAATATCATCTTGGAACCCAAAGGGAAAGTCATGAGAACTTTAGGATCTCGAGAGCTGTCACCAGAGGAGTGGCGGTGAGGGAGAACCTGTGTCAGGTGCAGGGACCATGAAGGCACCCGGACAGGGGCCTTCCTCAAGCAGTCTGACCACATGGGCTGAATTTTAGATGCCTTCATGCCCAATCAGTAGTGATGAGACTTTTAGAAGTGAAATGGGAAATCCTGAACGAAAACAAACAACTCCTAGATCTCAGTCTAAGAGGCCTGGATTTGACGCAGCATAGCCTAGTGAAATTATGTCTCTGCAACCAGAAATTAGAGATGGCAGAAGATAATCTTGTACAAACAAAGAGAATGGAGCTGGACTGAGGCCTCGTTACCAATAGCCTATAGACCTGGGAAACCTGAGGTGCTGAGCTCCTGGACAAAGGGTGACCACAGAACAAACTTCATTTGTTAGTTTAAGACAGCATCTACTGGGGAGCTGGCCTCAAACTCAAAACAATCCTCTGGCTTTTGTCTCCCGGGGGCCAGTGTTATAGATTTGGCCACCATACTATACTCAACTAGCCTAGGAATGCTTGGAGAACTGAATCTTGGTCCTCACCAGTGCTGACCCGAGTGCCGTGGACAGTGCCAGGCACACAACAGGCGCGCAAGAAACATGTCAGTAAGTGACCCAATGAACCAGTATCTCCCTATGCGTGTATGGGTGCTGGGCTTGTTGCTAATTGAGATGCCCCATTGACTCAGGGGGTAATGTCTGGGCAAGGTATTTTCTTCTATAAAAAAAAAAAAAATTCCAGCTCCAGGGAGAGATATTCAGACTTGTCCAAGTCCATTCTAGACAGAGGTGCCTGACCTCGGCTGATAGTCTGGCTTTGTAACTTCATCATATTTGATATCCGCAGGACATTTCTCGGCTTCCAAAGCCCTTTGAGGAGCAGTTATAAAATATAAGCCAATTGGACATGCAAGACAGAGCTGGCCACTTTCCTACTTTAAACAGTTATTTACATATTTTGGAGGGTATATGTGTGTGGAAATCAGAGGACAACTTTCAGGAGTCAATTCTCTCTTCTGTCATGTGGATCCTGGGGATGGAACTCAGGCCAGGCCTGGTGAGAAATACCCTTACCTGCTGAGCCAGCTCACGGGCCCCACTTCTTTATTTTTCAAAACAAATAGCTGACATTTGATTGATTAACTTTTCAGTTTTAACAGCCCTGCCTATCTGATCTGATTAATAGTCACACTTCATCCTGCAGGAGTCAGAGAAAACCTATAGCTCCCTGTACCCCCTCCTCTATCTAGCCTCACTCATCAGAGAGCAGGGGAGAAGCTGGAATCTGGAGAGATCAGAGATACCCAGGGTACATCGCAAAGGTTCTACCCACATTTGGGACTCTTTTCTGTCTGATCCTTTATGAATGGAGGCTGTGGGGTGGGGCTGCTGGTGAGCAGCTTGAGGATTTCTTTTCTCTTTCTAGAAGATTCCCTTGGTGATTCGGAGCCCATTCATGCTCCACCCTTCCCCTAGCCCCCCTCCTTCAGCAATTGAAATCTCCATCTTAGATTCCAGGGGTAACTTGATATTCTGATCCAGCAGCCTTGGGATAAGACCTTGCATGGTAGCTGAGCCCAGAGGAATTCTCTTCTTACCTTGTTAACGGCTGGCTTAGGCTTCCTCAATGAGACAGAGAAGTTTACTCCTGCCAGGCTGAGCACCCGTTGTTTCTCTGACTCATGAACTCCGGCTCGCTGGGCTTCCTCCTCCTCCTTACATTTAGCATATCCACCCATTTCACTGCCCTCACCCTTATGTTGAAACAACCCACCTTGCAAGCTGCGGAAACACTGGCTCCCTAGTAAGCATGGCACGGAGCAGCTTGAGAGTGTAGGGGCAGAGGGGTGGGGAGCAGCTACTCCAAATATCCTAGGTAGGCTGGGAAAAACAGAGAGGAAGCCTCTCCCTGTCTGAGAGATGATTCTGGAATGTCCACTCTTCTAGGACAGAAGGCAGGTGAAGTCCTTCAGGGCAGCATGGAGGCAGAAAAAAATACCCGTAGGGTCCAGAAGATGAAGTTCGTAGAGATACTGCCTGACAGTTACAAGCAGGATGCCCACAGGATTTTATAAGCCCCATTGCTGTATCTAACTCTTACCTCTCAGGAGAAAGCATAAAGGTTATTTTCCGGCATCACACTTACTTGTTCACTCAGCCCTAGGGAGGTAACATTTCTTAACTCCTATGTCATATTGATCATCTTCACCCTGTTTGCAAGATTGATTAAAGGGAAAAATATTCTTCTTTAAGAAAAACAAGTTATTGGAGAGTGTATCTTCTTACTTGCTGTGTGCCTTGGGTAAGTTACATACCCACTCTGAGCTCAGAAGTCTAAAACAACAGCTACACATGGACAAATGTGAACTGTCATGGAGTACAGAAGCCACCTTCTGACTGGACAAGTCCCTGAACCTCTTTGAGTCCTAGAATATAAAATATTCAGCATAAAATAAGAGTGATGGTGTTTGCCTTATAGCATTGTGACTGTTAGGATTAATGCATACAAAGCCCCTGTTGCCCAACTGTATACAACAGTGTGAGTTTAAAAGTGTCAGTTATTGGGGCTGGAGGGATGGTTCAGTGGTTAAGAGCACATGCTACTCTTGCAGAGGACCCGAGTTTGGGTCTCAGCACCCATTGTCAGGTGGCTCACAACTGCCTGTAACTCAAGTTCTGGGGGGATCTGGTGCCTCTGGCTCCTTCAGGCACCAACACACACCCAGAGATGTACACATAATTAAAAATAAAATGTATGTTAAAGTGTTAGCGTTACTGAATCATAACAGTACCTCTTCTCACTCAGCTGCTGGCTTATTTTCCAGGCTTCACAAAAGAGCAGCCAGGCAATACGTGAGTTCCGAGACACTCCCAGGGCTGGCCGACGTCCATCGGCTGTGTCCCCCACGGCCTTATCATTGCACAAATGACACGAACCTGCAGGGGCTCCCTCGTATTGATTTCAGTTGTGCGTCCTTCCTCCTTTCCTGTTTCCTTCTGGCACAGAGAAGTTTATCACCGTCCAAATGGCTGTTCTGTGCAAACATGTAAACTAAAGAGCTGGACCTGGGAAAGCTTTTATTTTACTTTGAGGTGACACTTGCTAAGTATTAAAGAATTAAAAAAAAAACACACACAATATGTATAAGGAAGAAAATACAAATCCCCTGATCTGTTGCTGATCAGAGGAAATGTCTGTTTACTATGCCCCCATGCTTATAGAAATCTGTACCATGAGCCAAGCATGAGCCAAGCATGACAGGCTCACACCTGTCATTCCAGCACTCAGGAAGCTGAGGTAGAAAGACCACAAGTTAAAGGCCAGTATGGACTACACAGTGAGATGCTGTCTCAATGAAAAGAAAACGAATTTCAATAACCAAAATTACATTGAACAGTTTTATACTTGTTCTCTGTCTCTCTCGCTCTCTGTCTCTCTGCATGTGTGCATGTGCATAATCCCATGCAAATGTGTATTTGTGTGTGTCTGTGTATCTGTGTATAGGACAGAGTTGGATGGCAGGTGTCTTCTATTGATTTCCACCTTATTTTGTTGAAACAAGGTCTCTTATTGAACCCAGAACTGACAGATTTGGCAAGACTGACTTCCAGGAAGTCCCAGGAATCCTCCAGTCTCTGCCTCACCAGTACTGGGAATAGAGGCAATTTCCTGCCACAGCTGGCTTTTACCCACACTTCCTGGGAACTGAACTTAGATCCTCAAGTTTGCAAGGCAAATAACTTGCTGACTGAGCCATCTCCTCAGACCTTTGTTTTTCCTTTAAGGTAATTTAAGTTACATCATACAAGTAGGACGCAAGGGTACGATTTAACAAATGAAGGCACTACCTCTTAAATAAAACCCAGAACACTACCAAAGCCGGGACATTACCAAAGCCACTTCCCTCGTCCCCTCCCCCAGATGTCCCTGACCCAGGACTCGGGGTGGTATATTAATGGTAGTCAGGTCCTTGATTTATTTATAGTTTATCACCTCGGAAAGTGTGGTTGAATTTTCCCCATTTCGATTCACCAGTGGAATCACGTAACACATACTCCTCTGAGCTTTCCTATGAATTTATCTTTGTAGGAGTCATGGTGTTTCTTGCTCTCCTGTTCTTGCTGTGTAATTCTCCATATGTGGCTGCACCACTGCTTATTTGGACACTAGAGCTGTTTATGATTATAGCTGAGATTCTTGACATACACCCTGGCAGATGCCTACTTCAGAGTCTCCTGGGGATGGCTTTGATGGTTTCATTTTATGCTGTATCTCAAACATTTGACCAGTCAGCTAATTCTTAGGATTTCATATTTTTCAAAGACAAGGTCTCAGGCTATAGTGCAGGTTGGCCTGGAAACCATTATGTAGCCAAGGCTAGCCTACAATTTGCAATAATCCTTTTGCTTCAGCCTCCCAAATGCTGGGATTATGGCATGAGCTATAATCCTCCATGCTTGACTACAGCAGTTGCTTTTGGAAGATACTTCCTCCCTCTCCCACCTTCCCTCCAGGTACCCACTCTACCCCTGAGCTATATCTCCAGCCCTCTTTTTATTTCTTGCTTTGTGACTGGGTCTCACTAAGTTGCACAGGTTGATCTCAAACTCACTCTAGTCCAGGCCAGCTTTGAACTTGAGATCTTCCTGCCTCAGCCTCCTGACTTGTTGGGATACAGTTCTGTTGTTGCCATCAGGTCCAGCTAGAAGTTGCTATTTTGATAAGATTTATAATATTCCAGTATTCCACTACCAGACTGAATAATCTAGATTATTTCCAACTTCCCTCTATGATATCATAATGAATAGATGATCTTAATGAGTGAGAGAGACTGGGTGAAGTATCTACTACAATCCTTAGCACAGATTAGCCACACTGACTCCTCCCTTACAAATTAAGAAGAGTTTGGGGGCACTAGTGAGATGGTTCAGCAGGTGAAAGCACTTGCTATACAAGCCTGATGACCTGAGTTTGAACTCTGGATCCCACGGTGGAAGGAGCACACTGACAAACGACTCTGGAAAGTTGTCCTGAGATCTACACATATGCATGTGTGCATGTACACACACACACACACACACACACACAACAACAACAATAATACATAAATTTTGTTTTAGATAGGTAGAAGTTTTGGGAAGGCTGAGCTGGAAGAAGCCAGTAACTATTCAACTAAAGATTCTCACTTATATATGAAAGCTAAAAAGTTGATCTCAAAGAAGTAGAAAACAGAATCATGATTTCCAGAGTCTGGTAAGGGTGTAGAGGAAGGAGAGATGGAAAGAGGATGTTTAGTGAGCACTGTGGTGCAGTTGACTAGGAAAACTAATTTCTAGTGTACTATATAGCACAGTTGGATGGGACAACTGTGGCTGACAACAGTTAGCTGAATATTTCTAAACATCTGATAGAAAGGATCTTAATGTTCCCATCACAAGCAAATGATATATGACCGTGGTGATGATAAGCCAATTACCCTATTTGATCATTACACAATATTTCCACTGAAATGCCACACAGCACTCCACAAATCTGCACAACTACTAGGTGTCAAATAAAAACGTAGCTTATAAAAGAGTTAGATATTCACATTATTTGAAAACTTGGAGTATGTAAAAGAGAAGCAATTCTGGGCCAGGGAGATGGTTCAGTTGAGAAAGTGTCTGCTACCCAAGCATGAGGATCTGAGTTTGGAACCCCAGAACCCACAAAATAAGCTGGGCACACTGGTACATGCTTGTAATTCCAGCACTGGGGGAGCCAGGCGGTTTCCCCGAAGCTCACTGGGTCAGGATCATGTCTCTATTCCTTTCACTAATTCTTGAGAACAGTCAAAGTGCAGTACAGAATTCTTTCTGTACTTACCTGAATAGATATTTAATATACATAAAGAGCAATGAAGCACAAATTCCTGGGATCATTTGTAATCTCCAGCACTTGTAGACCTCATGGGGGTATAATAATCTAATGGAAAGAGGAATGCAAAAAGAGAAACTACACCTTTCCCAGTCACTTGAACAGTGTGTGTGTTTGCATGTCTGTGTGAATGTGGATGTGCAAGTCTGTTTTGTATGTTTTAGAGAATGATCTGCAAAAGCTATACTTTCGGTATTGCATGAGTGAGCTTATTAAGTATATAATAAACCAAAGTAAAAGAATAAACAGCAAGGGATTCATAGATAGATAATAAAGCATCATCAAACTGGGAGATCAAAACACCCAATAAAAATCAACTAGAGAAACCCTGTTAAGGCAGCCAGCTGGAGTTCCCAATAGAGAGAGTCCAGGCCTGAGAGGAGGGTCCCCTGGGGTGACACTCCCAAGTAAAATGAACGAACAGTAACATAGATAACGCCATCAAAGCAGGTGCTCACAACATCCAGCAGAAATCCACTGGGGAAGCTGAGGTGCCCAGCCCCAAGTCCCAGTTGAATTGAATTTTAGTTTTTTCCCCCTAATGTAGGCATTTTTATATCAAGGGATAAGCTATAATATTGGAAACAGTTTATCATTTAGGTGTTCTCAAAGGTACAATGTTTTACACTTGAGCTGTTTTGTAGTTTTCTTTTTTCTCTGTCACATAATTAGTAGGGGCCATCCTCAGAAAGGGGTTTAGTTCGAGACACCATTTTGTGACT